TGCTGGCTGTGGGCTGTGCAAACCTGATATTTAATCAAACACTGTCATCAGAAAGCCAGATGGTAATGATATTAGAAGTTAATTTCTGCTTCATTGACGTTGCCAGGATTAAATGCATTTTTGTGCCTTGTTCTGAAGTTTGGTGGGAGTGCCCCAGAGGTCTTAATTTTACTATCTTGTGGATGTCACATGCTTTTCTTTTTCCAAGACTAATTTTTCCAACAGTTGAAACAAATCTTCTACATTCTCCATGTGTAACCACATTTGATATGAAAAAAAGTCAGCAAGAATGGTGCTTTAATCTATCTTAATTAATGCAATTTAAGGTCACCTTTGAATTTCAGTGGAAGGGAAACAAGAGTTTTTCAATTTGTAGATCCTTACATGACACATGACAATATTTAGTATTTCCCTTCTATGGAATTATTAGTCTCAAAAATGGGCAGGATGGAAACTGGCAACATTGGTGGTGGGAAATTTATACTGGCAGAGGATGGGTCTTGAAACACTTATGACTGAAATCGACCATGATCAGCTTTGTAACTCTGTACCTCACAGTGATTCGATAAAAAAAAAAATAAAATTAAAAGATATGTGCCTGACAAGGAGGCAGGCTGGTGGTGGGAAAACTGGGACACTGGTGAAGGGAAGTTGATGCTGGTGCTAGGTTTGGTTTTGGAGTATTGTACACCTGAAAAAAAATCATAGTGCCTTAATATTCAGAAAATTTTTTTGAATGTAAAAAATAAAGTTACTAAAAGATTTAAAAAAATGAATTTTCTTGACTGAACACTTAAAATTTGCCCTGGTTTCCCCCCACCCTTTTGGAGTTTTGTACAAACATTTGAAATCCTTTGCCAGGTTAAGAAATAGAGGTGTCAAAGATTTTAGTGGTGGGTAAGGAGCACATTAAAAGATTAGGGTGACAAACTGGTTTTGGGCCAGAGAGACAGAATAGGGGTTAAGGCACCAGTCTTTGACATGAATGCCCTGTTCCATCTTCATACCACAGGTGGTTCCCATAGTCTCCACTGCATCATTGTTGGGTGCAGTTCTGGAAGCTTCTTCGAGCACCTCTGGGCATGTCCCCCCAGTACTCCCAAATGACCTGCTTATAATTCCCAATCTGGTTCTTTTTCTATTGCTGTGTTTCTTGAAACAATGAACTCTTTTGGTTTTAGTGCTTGTTTGTTTTGGGGTGGTGAGGGCTCATACCCTGCCTCGTTCAGGGAAGTCTCAGGGTTCTATTTTGTTTCTTTGCTCAGGTGATTGTGTTCAGGTGAGCATATGTGGTGCAGGGAGATCAGGGTGCAAGTCAGCAGCTCAGGTCCCCTAGTTTGTTCACAATAGAATGCAGAACAAAAAGAACATGAAAGTTTATTTTTGGGTCTGGAGTGGTAGCACGGGGGAAGGGCATTTGCCTTGCACGCGGCCAACCCAGGTTTGATTCCCAGCATTCTACATGGTCCCCCGAGCACCTTCTTGGACCTGCTTGGAGTAATTCCTGAGTGCATGAGACAGAAGTAACCCCTGTGCATTGCCGGGTGTAATCCCAAAAGCAAAAAACAAACAAACAAAACAAAAAACAAGTTTGTTTTCAAAACATTTCTAAACCACCAAACCTTCCATTCATTCCCACAATTTAACATCTGAAATTCAGCATGAACAGATAAACTAGTAATTACAGAGTTAAGTGTCACTGACTTCTTAAAAAGGTCCTCTGGGTGTGTGAATTGCATTTTTAGGTCACATTAACATTGTATGTCTTCCACTGGATTTGAACCTTCCAGAAGCTTTTAGAATCCATCACAACAAAAATGATATACATCAACGTTCTACTGCAAAGTAATTGCATATTCATTAATTGTCTTTAATTGCATATTAATATTTGTTATGCTCATCTTCTATTTAAAAATAAAATTCTTAAGAAGTTGGCTTTGAAAAAATCTACTAATAAAAATTCAGATCGTGGGGATCTGAAATAAACACAGGAAAATAAATACTTTCCGCCTTAACACTTTCTAGGCAGACTAGCCAGGGGTCTTAATCAGACAGGGAGTTTCATAAGCTTTTTGGCAATACGCTCAAATAACTGCATCAAGATGAATTATCTGACCAGTTCTATCGGGTTCTTTTCTGTGACTCATTAAGTAAAATTCAAAGCAATGTCTCTTCAGAGAGCGTCTTGTATGCATAGAGGTAAGAGGTGGTTTCTCCTTCTCTTATACAACAACAGGTATGCCTTTGAATATCTCATTTTATTACTAACAACAAACTTTTGAGTGCATTTGGAAATGGATGAAAAGGCTATTTTCCGTAATTCTAACAAAATATGATTCACACACAATGGGCAAATGTAAAAATTTCCTTCCAAAAAAACAATTTTTTGTTCATACCACTATTTACCAAAATATTTTTTCCTTGAGTCTTTTAAACTAAGTTCACAACATTATGTGTCTAGACATAAAATTCCGTTTATAAATGTTCCAAAATTTGGAAATATTAACGATTGGTTCTTCTGTCTTATTTTTATCTTTATCCCTCAGTTTTGGATTACTATCCCCAGACTCTGGAAGAATTTATGAACATTCTCACTGTGTGTTTTAATCTCTTTGTTGATCCATGTTTCATATTTTAAATAATTTTTAGATTTATCTGTAATTATCTTCTTGAATGGTACCACGAAATCTCAATTACTCTAATGTAGTGAAGTGAGAGTTTTATGGGGCACATAAAATTGCAAGTCTCTGGCGATGTTTAGCCTTTATCCAAGTTATTATTGCTTTTAATCAAAATTATTACATCTCTGGGGACAAAACAAATGTGACTTTTCTGGCATGCTTCATACTTTAATTTTTGATCTAGTGATTTTTTTTTTTTTTGGTGGGAGAGGGTGTGTTAGCTGTATTTTCTAAGAAACTACTTGTCAACACATAAATTAGAAAACAATTGGGGGTAGGTCCTGGGCCACATCCGGAGGGGTTCAGGGTTTATTCCTGGCTCAGTTCTTGGTTCTCCCGGCAAAGTTTTGGCGGTCGTATGGAGGTTTAGGGGATCATACATGATGGTCTGGATCAATTTGGATTAGTTGTACGAAAGACATGCTCCTTAACCCCTTTGATATTTCTGCAGTCTGTTTATAATAAAAAGTTTGTTTTAAAACATTTTGTTGATTGAGGGTCAGCAATTTACAGTACTGTTTAAATTGTTTGTAAAGGGATTTTAATAGTCAGTATCAGATTATTCTAATGTTATTTTATGTCCTCAAAGGACTAATTTGAAACTTAGATTTTTTTCTAAGTTAGCTTTAAAAATTACTACATTTTTAAATGTCTCAAAATTCAAACAAATCAACAAGATTAACATAATGGTCTGCAGAATATTTTTTTTTGCTTGCATTTTTGTTTTTAATTGACTGAGCAATGATTTTATTGGCTCTTGGCTGAAGTGTATTAGAGATTTAGCTTCCTTGTCAGTTGGGAAAATTTTTTGTTTTTATTCCATTTTCCCTTTTGTAATACTTTCTGAGCATGTTCTCTCAGAGAAATTTTCATAAACTCACAATTATTAATAATATACAGATTCAATATTAATGAATAGATTTTTTTTAAGTTTGAGTTTTTTCTAGATTTTAGCTGATACATGGAATGTACAATGAATATAAATTTTTGTCTAAAGCCTTCCTAAACCTCTTTATGAAAAATCCAAAGAATGATTCAAACATAGACTGAGAAGATTTCACTCGTTTTTCCCTAGCACATGAAAACATTACTTTATGAAATAATGTCAAAGTCATGCAGATCATACTATTGGAATTCATTCAATATTGAGTATAATATTGTTTTAAAAGTATGAAAATTCTTTTCATTTATTTATTTTTTATTTTTTTGGCTTTTTGGGTCACACCTGGAGATGCACAGGAGTTGCTCCTGGCTCTGCACTCAGGAATTACCCCTGGTGGTGCTCAGGGGAGCATATGGGATGCTGGGAATCGAACCTGAGTTGGCCATGTGCAGGGCAAACACTCTACCCATTGTGCTATTGCTCCAGCCCAAAAGTATGAAAATTCTTAAGATATTTTAGCACATCAATTTTTAATTAAGCATTTATAAGCACTCTATGAAATGTATAGCTACTATCATTTTGTATTGTACTGAGTACTTGTCTATACTAAGCAAAATCTTTCTTAAATTTTCAAGCCTCGACTTGCATGTGAGGTCTTGGGCTTGATCCCTGGTGCAGGAAAAACAAAACAACTGACTAACCAGCCAACCAATCAACCAACACATTTTAGCTAATCAAAACTCATGGGGCCAGGGAAATAGTACAGGCGATAAGGTACTTTCCTTGAATTAGGTTGATCCTGGTTCAACCCTTGAGCGCAGAGCCAGAGTAAGCCCTGAACACCACTCAGTATGGTATAACTTGCCCACCCACACCCCCAAACCACAATAGAAGTTCACGGGTTTTTTTTTTTTTGAGAGGTGTTCAATCAGCAGTGATCAGGACTCACTCCTCCTGGCTCTGTGTTCTGTCATCAATGCTTTGGAATCAAAAATAGTATCAAACAGGGGCAACTTCATGCAAGCTGCCCTAACCCCTGCATTATCTCTCCAGTGCATAAGTTTAATATTTGGAAAAGCTTCTTTTTGAGTAAGATATTTTAAAGCCATTTTAAATATAGCCAACATGTTTTATTCCCCAAAAATGAAAGGTCACAGTACACTGAAAAAAATGTCAATAATAGGGACATTCTATGCTATTAGTTGATTCATTTGGCCCTAAATTCTAAAGTTTCTTGTGCTAAAATATTTGTAATTGTTAAATGTACTGAGTCATGGATTTAAGTCTGAAACTTCCTTTTATATAAAAGATCCTATAGCAGCATTCTCCTGCAAAACTTCATCAAATCTGACATCTGGTTAAAGGAAAAGAAAAATGGAGTAGGGAGATCACTGCAAAGTACCAAGTTATGCTTCTAGTGTAAGATGGTAATGGACCAAATTGACCAGCTTATAATACAATTTCATTTTATTTTAAACATATTTTGCATGATATAAAAATATTGATCACAGTGAGTTTTACCAATTGTTATTGTTATAAAAATGAATGCAGAAACAATATTTTTTTAGTGGAAATAAATTATGTAGTCATTTTTCTTTTTTAATCACAAGAGTAAAAACTTCAGCTGTTTGGTCATTGGTAGAAAACCAGTCTTTGAAAGAGGCCTTTTGCCAATGAGCTCCAGTCTACTTCCGTCAAGTTCTCCACGTGGTTCGGTCAACACTGGCTTTTGTCTTTGTCATCACGGTGGCACAATGGTCTCTCTGTTCACAGACCATTTCACTGTGGCAACCTGGGTTTCCATGAGACAGAGTTGACGAACCGGACAAGAGTGACCCTTAGTTCATGTGTGGTCTTTTCCAGTACGAGGGGACACAGCGGCACACTTCTTCGCTAAATGAAAGTCCTTGGTCACAGTGCTTGGGCCGGTTTGGACACGGTCTTCTGTAACAACTGTAGAAACAGAGAGGAACAGACTTTGTATAAAGACCAAGGCAATGAATGCATCTCTCCACCCAGGGCCCTTCTGGAGTTTTCTACAGTTCACACCAGGACACAACAACTCCCTGAATCATGAAGTTGGCCTTGGTCTTAGAAACTGTTCAAGTGCGTGCTTGGGAACGACAACAGTTAGAGGAACGGGAAAGCCTTAAAAAAAATCCAATCAAATCTTGATAGAAGAAATAGAAGAATGGGATGTGGTCAGCCCTGGTTCATTGGAAGTGCATTCTCTGCTTCGTGGGGGACGGGGACATGAAACTGACATTTTGAGGGAGGATATTTAAGGTCTGCTGAGTTCCTCTGATCACTGAGCATAAGTGTGCAGCCTGTATGGAACCCAGACGCGAAGGCTCTGAAGACCGGCCCTTCAGGGCGTGCTCAAGTCCACAGCACAGCCCCTCACCCATGCCCCTCCGCTGGGAAGGCAGCTGGCCCCAAGACGGTGAATCACTATCTTCCCCATATGGGCTCCACGTGGAAACAAGTGAAGGGAAACAAAAAGGGCCGCAGCTCACTGTAGCTCTCTGCCCTCCTCCCGCAGACTTCTAGTTTCTAGGCAGGGTGTAAGGAAACTCAGTAAGTGATCTGCTAGGGCTGTCAGGAACCCTCTCATGCTCCAATCGATCAAAACTATTTTAAGTTTTAGTCTGTAATTTTTTAATTTTAAAAATTATTTTTAATCGAATTACAGTGAGATACACAGTTATAAAAGTTGTTCACGATTGCGTTTCAGTCATACAATGTTCCAATCAGTGTGCATTTCCCACCACCAATGGCCCCAGTTTCCCTCCCCTGAGCCCCCTGCCTGCCTGTATGGCAGGAACTTTCCTTCTCTATCTCTCTGTCTCTGTCTCTCTCTCTCTCTTTCTATCTGTCTCTCTCTCTTGTTCTCTCTCTCCCTACTCCCTCTGTCTCTCTGTCTCTGCCTCCCCATTTTATGTTTTCCCCCAGCTCCTTTCTCTCTCTCCTTCCTTTTGGGCTTGATGGTTTGCAATACAGATACTGAAAGGTTATCAGGTATATCTCTTTTCCTACTTTCAACTCTCAGTTCCTGTCCAAAATGATCATTTCCAACTATTACTATGAGAAAGAACCAGTCAGAACAGTTTTCAAATTGTGTTTTGGGGTCTAACAGAGAACATGAGTAACACAAGGGAATGAGAAAAGGTAGGAAGGGAAAAATACAAGATGATCAAATCTGAAATTTTTATGTATTTTTTTTATGTTTGCCTTGTGTTTGGGGATTACTCATGGCGCTGCACTCAGGAATCAATCCTGGCTGTTCCCAGGGGACAATATCAGATGCTGGGGAATGAACCCAAACTGGACACATTTCAAGGCTAATGCCCTATCCATTGCACTATAGCTCCAGCCTCATAGACCTGAAAATTTTAAAGTGAACTAGAAATAAGTCACAATTGTGGTTTGCCAGTACAAATTTTTCTGCTACAGAAAAGGAAGTATAGCTAGTTAATTTTTTTTTTAAGTTTCAAGTATGTATGTGTTGTTATAAGACAACTGGTATACTTAACTAAAAAAAACATTTAGTAATCAAAGACAATGGCTGGTGATGTCAGAGGACCAAGGGTGCCCACTGACCAATATTTATGGAGTAAATATTAGGAATTTCTAGGCTTCTAGAATAGATTTCTAGAATAAATATTTGGAATTTCTACATTTCTAGAATAAATAATATGAAAATAAGGAATTCGTATATTTTCAAAGTATTAAGTGACTTTTGCTTCTATACATATGTAAAATCTGGAATTAGATTTTTTAAAAATAAATCTAGAGAGCACTTCAGAAAAAGAACTTTATGAAACAAGGTATCATATTATTAGAACTACAATGATATAAATCTTGTATTCTAAGTTAACACAAGAATTCTATGCAAAAATGATGGCTGTTAGTTTATAAATATTAAAATTTCAGGATTTTCTATGTATACCATGTTCACTCAGGGACTCAAAATATAAAATGTTCTAGCAAGCTTTAATTAGATTTAGCCTTTATATTCTCTGCGTTTAATAATTAGAGTAGAAATACTCAAATAAAGTTGAAAAAAGTATTTGTTCAAAGTATTATTAAAAATAAAAGGATTTCTATAAAGTACTTGAAAATAATAATGGAAGGTAAAAATCATCATCGAGATAACTAGATTTACTCGTCTCCTTATGCAGCTAAAATGTTAGTGTGCAGAAATCCTCAAAAATATACATTGATAGCACAAAAGACTCGAGAATTGAAATACTGACCCTGAAGGAAAAAGTAATATTGAACACTGATGCGGATACGAATTTTTAAGTAAATGAAAGGAAAGTTGCAAATAATATGAACAAACCTTGTTGAAGGGCATTATCATTCATTTTTAAATAGCGGGTGAGCAAGAAACCCTTGAAGGTGATTAAGAACAAGCAATCTGAAAATGGAAAGGGTAGTATGGACAGCATTATGTGAGTCCTCCGAGAAAAATGCTCAGGCCTGTGAATATGCACAGAAAGGAAGGCACTAGGCGGCCAAGAAGCTAGCTCTGGCTTGGTCTCCACAGTGTAGATGGTCCCATGGGTACCGCAAGGGGTCACTCCTGAGCACAGAGCCAGGAATAGTCCCTGAGCACCACTGGGAAGGTGCTAAATACGTACTCCTTTCCCAATAAAGAAAAAAAAATGTTATGGAGAGATGGACACAAATGTTAATGCCTAGTCTTGCAGCAATTCTGAAAAGGACAGTGTATGCAACATCCTAGTAAGATGCTAATAAAATAGATGAACTCTGGACTTTCATAAATTGATGAAAAAGGAAAATAGAATTGGATATGTCACAGGCAGGGAAGTGGGTGGACATGGCTGGTGGAGCAATGTTAAAGAAATGGCTAGAAACTATTAAAAACACGGATTTGGTTCAAATAATATACCACCTTATTCCCAGATTAAAGACAAGGAAGTTCAGTGTTGACTACTAAAAATGTCTGAGTCCATGTGGATGGAATTGAGGTGATTATGATAAATGAAAGTAAATTAGAGTGTGAGACATTTACAGGATGGTTTCACTCTTATGAGGAAAATAAATACGAGAAGCAAAAAACTCAGGAAAACGCAACACAAGTAAGTCTATGACTAAAAACTATGGTAGTTACAGTGGCAAAGGGAAAGAAAGGGAGTGATGGAGGGATGGGGTCCTTTCGGATACATAAATTAGAACTTAGGTGGTTGATGGGTAAAGCACATACACATATTAAAGAATGAATCTTTACCTCTGAATTCATGCACTATTGTCATTCAATGACAAATAAATGAACCTTGATATACAAAAGTCTAAGTTCAGTAACTTATTTTTTTATCATAGAAGAGACCAAAATTAAAATTTAAAAAATGAGTCTTAAGTGCCATTTCAGAAGATATAAATTCATTTCTCTAGATCCATTCAATATTAGTTTAAATATTTTTACTCTAAATATGGCACTCTCATTATTTATAAATTTTGCACAACATTTTTCTATACTTTGAATAGTTCTTCTAATTTTTGGTGAGGCAGGTGTGCACTGCGGGGTTACTCTGAAAATGACATACGCGAGTCTGTCCATCCTCTGCCTCTTTCTCCTTCAGCTGAGATCCATTACCACAGCCTCTCTCAGGCAACAATTACAAGTGGATTCTAAGCTTGGGTCTGATTTTAGTTACCAGAGCACCTGTTCTGCTCATTTCAAAGAAAACCTAGTTCAATAAAAGTTTTTTTTCTGTGTTAAAAACAAAACAAAATACCAGATCCATCTTCCAGAACCTACAGGTCTCATTATAACAGGAAGCCACTCCCGGGAGAAAATCACAGCTGGGAAGATAACCAAGAGCTGCTATGAAGAATTCTCACCTGCATGTTTGATGCTGAAATTTCTTTCCTTTTAAGAAGCATTTCTGTGGACTCTCTGTACATTCACAGGCACATTTCCCGGGGTTTAGGGGTTGATTTCTTGGGCAGGTTCTTTTACATACACACTGGCATGTGTTTTCATCAAATTCTCTGTTAGCCCCACATGAACTGGGGAAAAGTTTGTTTTTACAGACACATTGGCATGAGTTTCTGTCTAGTTCTTTGTGGGGTCCACAGCTGGAAGGTCGAAGTCCCCCTCTGCAGACACACTGACAGGTCTCTTCATCCAGCTCCTGGTTGGGCCCACAGACATCATGGAATCCACCGGCAGCGTCTAGACAGATAGTGAGAACATCTTTATGCTTTACCTTGCATGGTTCCATGTGTGACGCAAAATGATCCCAAACATTTATAAGAACCTTCCTTTTTGTTTTCATTACAGATTGAGCTTAAACACAGGACTATTCCTTTACAAACAAGCTCACATCAATACCCACAGGAAGTATAAAATGCCGCAATTCATGGTCACTTCTTTGACAGAATGATGATCAAACTATGCTACATGTGGTTTTCACATTTATCAAAATAGAGACCTAAGCTTGGCACTTAGAAAGTCTTCAAAACATCACTTACCATCTCCAGCATCAGAGGAAAAAAGAAAATCTTGCTGAGCCAGGCATCTGCAGATGTGATTATTCCACATGTAATTTGTGGGGCAAGTCTCATTGGCACCTTGGCACCTTTGGAAGAGAGAGATGCTGTAAAGCAATAGTGCAACTGCTAGAAAGATGGCATTGTTTCTTTATTATGTTTGCATTTCATAACTAATAGGTCTTTTAAGAGCACTTAAAAGGAGGTAAGAATATATAAAGGTAATGTAAATTTCTCTCTAGAATGAACTTGCTATCAGATTCTATTCTCAGAGTTGAGTATGAATGATTCTGAACATCATGATATCTATTTTAGCTTACACTGTGGTTTGAGACCCCACAAAAGGACTGTGTAATTAAGAAAGTATTTCAAAATTCATTTCTTCATGATTATCAGTAAATGTTTTATTTGTATACCTATTTCATATATTGATAAACAGAGTTCACAAATATTCGCCTTTAGGGGTCACAACTGAATATATTTAAGAAGCCCTGGCTAGTACATTATTTGAATCACTTTTATGGATATTATTTTTTTGACTAATAAATTTATTTGCATAAGCCCAGTGTTTCATTTGTGAAAATGAGATAAAGTCTTTAATTTCTCCCCTCTGAAACCTTCTTTTCCCATTATACCATGTAAGATTTTAGAAAGCATTATGTCATTTCACAGAATTATGCTTTATTTTTTAGTAGTGGCAAAATATTATAAAACTATAATTAATTTTATATTGGGAACTACTAACTTACTTCCAAATATTTCTTTTACAATCATACAAATATATAATCTTTACTGGTTTATTTTTTAGTCATAGACTGCCATAACTATAAAGGTCGTATTAACATAAAATTAGAACTTTTTCACACTCCATCAGAAAGGTTTAAAATAACATGCCTTCCTTCCTCTCATCTCCTTCCTTCCTTCCTTCCTTCCTTCCTTCCTTCCTTCCTTCCTTCCTTCCTTTTTTCCTCCCTCCCCCTCCCTCCCTACTTCCCTTCTCCTTTCTTCTCATCCTTTTCTTTCTCTGGCCCCTAATAGTACAAATTCTGTATGGAATTTTGGAACCGGAAAATAAAATCTAAAATTGTAATAATTTCTTCCTTTAGCTGGTCCACCCACTTTGAGGTCCACCACCTGCTCTTCTGTCTAGAAGTCTCCACAGTTCCCCCATGGAGTGGAGCATGTCCACTCATTTCTTTCAGTATGCCAATGTATTGCCCCTCTTGCCCTTCTACCCAACATCATTTGTTGTGAATATAAATGACTGTTTGGACCTCTGTCTCTCATCTCTTCTTAAATTTCTTAAATGATCCCATCTCCCACACCTATGTGCTTGTCTATGATGGAAAGTTTAGAGTAAAACAAAAAAGCAGCATCTTGTTTGCTCTGTGACAAAAGCTGCTTCATCTTCATATATCCGACGAAATATCAGCAAACACTTTTTTGAGTTTTTCAGTCTATGAAGAAAGGGTTAATTTTCTACAGGCACTATCAGCTCCCGATAAGCATGTTATGTTTGGGGCTGTCTTGCCCTGCATCACTATTCCTCCCCTCTTGAAAGAACCCAAACTATGCTTACAATTTGTATTTTTGGTTAACCAGATGTTGGTCCTGGACACACAGTCTTTTAAACCAGAAAAAAGGAAGAGAAAGGAAAAAAAGAACTAAGTTGTTTTTCTTTTTCAAAGAACTGTGACTTATGCAATATATGTCCAAGGGGGAAAATTATCACATTTTGATTTAGATGGAACTATTTCTCTTATTAAATTTCTCAAAACAGTTCTTAGGTCATTTGAAATGAATGTTAACATTCTTAAAAATAAATTCAATTGTTAGCACTGAATGAATTTAATGTGGGAAGCAAATTTAGGTATCAGCAATTGCCATCTGCAGATCTTTATTTATTTAAAAAAATTATTAGTGAAACACCATGAGTTGTAGACTTACAAATTTTTGTGCTTGTGTTTCAATTATACAATGTTCGAGTACCCATCCCTCCACCAGTGCCCATTTTCCACCACCACTGATCCCAGTATCCCTCCCACCCCCCATCCCCCCATGCCCCCCTGCCTCTGTGGCAGAGCATTCCCTTTGTTCTCTCTCTCCTTTTGGGTGCTGTGGTTTTCAAAAGAGGCATTGAGTGGCAATCAGGTTCGATCTATAGTCTACTTTCAGCATGCATCTCCCATCCTGGGAGGATCCTCCCAACACCCTTTATTTGGTGCTCCCTTCTCTATCTGAGCTGCCTTTCCCCCTAGCATGTGCGGTTGGCCTCCAAGCCATGGAGTGAACCTTCTGGTACTTATCTCAGCTATTCTTGGGTGTTAATCTTCTATTTTGTTACTTTATGTTCCCCCAGATGAATGCAATCTTTCTATGTCTGTCCCTCTCTTTCTGACTCATTTCACTTAGTATGTAGTACTTTCCATGTAGTAGTACTTGCATGTAAATTTCATGACTTCATCTTTTCTAACAGCTACATAGTACTCCATTTTGTAGATGTACCAAAGTTTCTTTAAACAGTCATCTGTTCTCAGGCACTCAAGTTTTTTCCAGATTCTGGCTATTGTAAACAGTGCTGCAATGAAAAAACAAGTGCAATCACGGGCAGATCTTTAAAGAAGATATCTTCACTGCAACCCCAAGGGCTAACATTCTGCTCTCCCTGTGGTGCATATTGTCCAAAGTTATCTTCCTCAAATAACTGCTAAGTCTTGCTATCTCCGGAACCTAATTCAGTTTCCAGTATGCACTCACAGGGTCTTATTCTTCAGAGCATCTTTTTATGATTCAACGGGACATTCAAAGATGCTGTCTATTCTCGTAAGGAAAGTAACCTATAGCCACTTTAATAATGTTGATAAGCAACTAAACAGGGTGTTTCTCAAAGGCCAAATATTGATGTCATTTCAGTTTCACTCACTGTGATTAATACCACCTAAACTTTAATCATAGATGAAAGAAGAGTAAAAAAGAGTAACAGATCATTATTTATGTTACCAATTTTTTTTTTGCTCAAGATTGCTGCCTGGATAGCATCTGGGGTGTGTGTGTGTGTGTGTGTGTGTGTGTGTGTGTGTGTGTGTGTGATCGGGGGGGAGTAGATAGTGCTTTTTTATTATTAGAAACACAGTTCAGTCTTCAATGCCAATTTATTCCCCTGTTAATGTTAAAAAATTACCACTTGCTTCCATCAGTCTATCCTGCAATCAATGGCCAAACATGCTTCATATTCCATAGACAAAATGTTTAAAAGCAACTCACTATGCCACATCATAGCTCATTTTTTCTTTCTTATTTCAGAAAAAGTAGTACTATGCTATTTTCTTCTGAGTCATCTCCAAGGCTAGCAGTTCCAGGGGTGTTTGCATGTTTGGGTCCTTCTTGTACTTGCAAAAGAAATACTTCACTCTTCTCTGTCTTGGTTTTGGGGACACAGTCAATAGTACTCAGAATTTACTCCTGGCTCTGCATTCAGGAACCACTCCTAGCAAGGCTGAGGGGACCACATGTGTGCCAGGGATTGAACTCGGGTTGGTTGAGTGCAAATCATGTACCTTATTCCCTGGACCATCTCTGGGCCCCAACACTTTACTCTTTTCATTCTATCTCTCCCCAGCTCTTCTTGATTATATTGTTCCCATTATTATAGAGCTACTACAACCATGTTCAGTGCTGGGGATCTAACTGGGGTTGGCCACATGCGGTGTCTTAGCCTGCTTTATCCAGGCTTATTGGCCCCTGTGATTTTATTTCTTTTAAAGTGCTATTATATGCACTGCTTCTCATATCCCACTTGGTAACACTTTAATGTGCTCCCCCCTTGAACTAGAGTCTGGTAACTTCCATAGAAATTTATTTTTTCTCCATAAAAATTTGCAGCTCTGCTGTGTGCCCCCATGTTCTTGCTCTCTGAGATCATATTTTTCCTCTTTTCTTTTCCTCATTTCCCACTTCTTATTTATCTTATGGAATGTTCTAGAAGTATCCTCTCTGAACCTCCTATTTTGTTCTTCTCATCCACTACTCACTCCACCAGGGTCTTCTTTTTTTGAGAACAAATGAAACCATCATGTCCCAGCTGCTATATATTAATGGCTCATGAGAATCACCAAATAATAAAATTTCCACCCTTGGTGCAATGGATTAAATTCTGTTTTTGTCTTGAGATTCAAGCAGAGCTGCATGTCTCATACACTGTACAGTCACACTTGCCTCTACCCCAACATATCAATTTCACTCAGTTTACACTTCTGACACACTTGCGGAGTTTTTTTTTTTTGGACCCTATTATTTATTCTGTCTCAATAGCCTAGCACAACTTCAGTCCCTAGTGAGTAAAAATAACTGCTTGTTAAATGACTGTTTCATATACTCAGTCTATTAAAAATATTTAACTGTATTTAATTGAACTCTTACTAAATTCTTTTACTTAAGGAATTATATTAGTCATTTTTAAAATATACCACATTTCCTTGTTTTGTAATTGTAAGACAACATAAATATTTCATGAATGAATAAATAAACACTGCTTTTACCAAGCAGAAATATCTAGGGCATCACTTCTTAACCGCAAATGTTTCCTTTCATAAAAAGAAAACCTCCACCAAGGGGTCAAAAAGTTTAATTTGAAGAAAAATAAGGGAGAAAATAGTTGGAAAAAGACTCAATTGCCAGAGCATTAACATGAGGACTGATCACGAATCATTTCTGCTAGAGATAACCTTGCCTACCTCTGGAATTCCTGATATATTTTGATGCTGTTGCTATTTAGACATGAGAATTTTGCTCGAAGTACTAAAATCCTCGTGAGTTATCCGGAGAAAGCAAGGGTAAAGAACAAAAGGACTTGATTTTTATCTTTTTCTGGCACTTTTGTCTGTTTAGTACAATACATGCTAATTAACATTCCTCGGGATCAATTTTCTCATATGAAAAATGTTAGTTAAAAATAGCCGCCAACATTTAGTAGTGGCTCACTATGTGTCTATCACTGTACTAACAGTTAGCAGGATTATGGGCTGTAAACTCCCTACATCTACATGAGAAGGATTATTATTATTATTATGTGGTGCTAGGATTTCTATGC